AGAATCCCAGCCACTCCTGCCGCCTGGGACCCCTAACCCTAGCCCGCGTGGGCTCCGGGGGTGCACACCAGGCCTTTCTGAGGCTGGAGGGAGGAAGACCAGGGTGTAGCCTCACTCAACCACAGGCCGGAGACCTGAGGGGTGGCCAGCGTGGCAGGGAGACCTGAGGGGTGGCCAGCGTGGCAGGGCCAGGTGCTGCCCCCAGCCAGAGGTCTAGTCCTAGAAACACACTCCCCAGGAGAGGCTGCTTCCTGAGTGATGGGAATAAATGTTCCATGTCCCCAGAGCGAAGGTGGCCCCGCGTGCCATGCGCTGCACAGATCAGGCACACGGCCCGGACCCGAGGCCTGGTGGGTGAGAGGCTCACCCAGAGGAGGCCGGGTGGGCGCCAGAGGATAAGGGTCAGGGGTGAAGAGCTGTGCTGGGGGAGAGAGGCCAAGTTGCCCAGGGGTGCCAGGCTGGGCTGGCCCTTTGCAGCCCCCATCTGAGAGGGCTCTGCCATGGGTCTGCAGTGCTGGGGTTCCCCACGTGTGCCCACAGAGCTCTGCTTCGGTCCCTGGGACCTGCCAACCACTCCACTCCCGACGGGGACCGGGCATGCCCAGGGAGCCCTGGGCCTGATGCAGTGTGCTGCGGGGTGGTGTGGAGCGGGCAGGGCCCGGCAGTGTGGCATTGGGCTCCTTCCCAGGGCTGGCCGGTGGGAGAGCCTCCAGGGAGGTGAAGGCAGGCGCCAGGCGGGTGTGTGCGTATGGGTGGCGCACGCCTGTGTATGTGCACACGTGTGTATGTCACGTCTGCGTGTGCACGTGTGTGCCCATCTGCAGAGAAGCTGGCCAGGCTCCATCTCCAGCAGTGACTGAGGCTGCCTGGGGACATGATGGCTAGAACGTGCCTCCTTGAGCCTTCTCGGACTCCGGCCTGGCTGCCGCCCTGCGGTGGGGCGGGGAGGCCCGCTGGCTGGAGGCCTGAGGAACATGGCTTGGGCCCTCCCAGGGGCGGCTGCCCTGACAGCTCAGGGCAGGAACTTTGCTTGAAGATGTGGGGGTGGCCAAGGAGCTCTTGCCCTACGGGTCTGTGGAGACACCTTCAGTGCCTGCCCTGTCACCCCGGCTCCCGACCTGGGGACGCCCCTCTTGCCTCGTCCATCCGGGCTGAAGCCGGGGCCCTCGTCAGGAAGGCCTGCCCACACTCCACGCTACCGAGCACCCCGGCCCCGAGGCCAGCAGAGCAGGGCCTGCCACCCCGTGTGGGCCTTCCCAGTGGCCCCTCCACACTGACTCCGGGGGCAGCAAGCTGCAGAGGCCCAGGGCCACCCACTTACAGCCCGGCAGACTCAACAGGGCACAGGGACTCGGCAGACGGCGGCACGAGTGCGACCTGCAGGGTCAGTCGTGGCAGGCGGAGCAAAGCTGGGAGAGATGCAAGGGCAGAGGGAACGTGGGCAGAGGTGCTGAGGCCACGGCCGGCTGGCAGGGTGCTCCCACCCTGGGGCAGCAGCCAGGCCGGCCGGCAGGGGCACCTGGAAGGGCACAGGAGGTCTCGGGGCTGAAGGCCAACGAGCTCATGGGCTATTCCTGGAGCCCCTGGCATGGCGGGGGCAGACAGCCCCGAGGCCGGGGGTGGGTGAGGACCTGGGGGCCTGGCGGGGCGTCATGCCGAGTGTCCCAGGAAGACAGCAAGCCCTGAACAGCCATGGGGACCCCGAGGCTGACCTGGGCCTCTCCACCCACACCTGGCATGGGCTGTCTCTGCACTGGCCCTGGACCCAGAATGCCTGGTGCCACCATGGAGGGCAAGGATACCGTGGGAGCCACAGGAGGGCAGATGCTCCTCAGGGCTACCCCACTGCTGGGGTTTACTGGCCCTGGGCCCCAGCCACTCCCAGCAGGAGCTGGCCAGAAAATCTGGCTGTGAGGACAGGGACAGGACTGGGGACAGCACTGGGGACAGCATGGGGGCTGCAGGGAGGTGATAGGCAGAGTGGGCCGTTGTCCCCACAATGAGGGGACCAAGGCTAGCTGGCTGGGAGTGTGGCTCACCCCAGGGCTCCCCATCAGCCAGAGTGATATTGGGGTGTCCTAGTGTGGGAAGTGGAGAGCCTCCTCCCTCAGGTATTCTGGGCAGGTGGGGTGAGGGTGGGGCTGGTGGAGGTGTTGAGGTGACATAACTCTGGCCCAGGCCTCCACTGCCTGCACCACAGGGGACCCTGAGGTGGGCGTGGGTGGGAGGGGCTCAGGGAGCCGGCAGTACACCCAGTGGGCCTGCTTCGTCGCCACGGGGCCTAGAGCTGCTGCCTGTGCCCTCCTGTGGGTCCCTGGCAAGGTACCAGGTCGGTTCCAGACCCTGAGTCCCTTCTCCACCCCTCCCTGGCCCAGTGTGGTCACAGCCCTCCATGCCTGTCGCCTCACCCCTTCCTCCTGTCCCCCTCAGAGCAAACCATCTGCTGCTCCCGGCTTGCCACCCAGGAGCCCCCAGCCCCTCCCGCGTTTCCCAGGAGCTCTGTCCGTGGCAGCAGCATCGGGGTGGGGCAGCACAGGAGGCAGGGGTGCTGGGAGGCCGCCCAGGCAGAGCCCTCCAGCTCGGGCAGCAGCCTCCCCCGACCAGACATTCCTGGACGCTGCCGACTGTCCCCAGTGGCCAGTGATCGGCGTGGTGCAGTGGGAAGGCCGAGGGTGCGTGCTGGGCAGAGGGACAGGAGACGTCAGCCCCTCCCCCTGCGATCTGTTAGGAGGTCACGACAGGGTGGCTGGGGGGACCCCAGAGATTGCAGCCCCCCGCTCTGGGGCCTGGGGCCTGCCTACTGCTGCCTGCCGGTACATGGCACCTCAGGAAGGAGGCAGTGGCAGTGCGGTCCCCCATACATGGCACCTCAGGAAGGAGGCAGTGGCAGTGCGGTCCCCCATGGGCCCCCTGCAGAGTGGCGGCAGCTGCTGGCAGGGAATGGGCACCCACAGGACAGCCGCGCTGCCCCTCCTGCCCACCTGCTTCCCGGGCCTCTTGGCGAGGGCGGCCTCTGCGGCCCT